AGAATTCCTCGCACTGTCACTATTGATGGGATACTAATCATCCCACTGACGAGGTAGAATTCTTCCCACTGACACCAACAATGGGGCATAATTCCTCTCAATGACATACATCAGCAATGGGGCAGAATTCCCCCAATGACACCAATAATGGGGCAGAATTCCTGCCATTTACTCCAATGATGAGGTACTATTCCTCCCACTGACACCAATGTTGGGGCACTTTTCCTCCCACTGACACCAATGTTGGGGCACTTTTCCTCCCACTGACACCAATGTTGGGGCACTTTTCCTCCCATTGAAACAAATCATGGGGAATTATTCCTCCCAATAATATCAACAATGAGATACTATTACTTTCACTGACATCAACCATGGGGTATTACAGTCACTCTGTAATTCAGTCACTTTTTATTACTCCCACTGGCCACTAACCCTGTGGCATTTTTTTTACTCTTACAGTTGACCACTGAGCCTAAGGCATTGTTAACTCCCACTGACCAAAGTTGCCCCCCCCCCCCCAAATCATGGCCCTTTAGAAAGTTTGGGAACCCCTGTTAAGAGTAAATATTTATCATAATTCACTAATAAATGTGTCAAGGACCTTCTATCATAATTGGCTGGCCAGGATTTCAGTTGCAAGGGGTCGCAAATATACATTAAAACTGTCACATAGACTTCAAAGTGAAAGGCGGTCTGATTTGAATCTAATTGTGATATCAATGCCCTTCATCCAACCAGAGAGCACCTGGTATTCATTGATAAAAATGTATATGTGGAGTTTAGCTTGAAAAACATAAGGCATATTTTCAAAGCATTTGCAGTCATTGGATTTATAAAGCCAAAGAAGACAAACCCATAGAGTGGGCTTCTGATTTTTAACTCTTTATTACTCATTTCAGTTGTTGGGGAGCTTTGCAGATTTATTCTGTTTTGTATACACAAGGCTTATTTACTTTTTTATTAATGGAACTGACTTAATTGTGTTCACTTATAAAAAACAAGGCAGCTGGATGGCTCAGGTATCACCCAGATCCCAGGGCCACTAAGTACCACTGGCTGATGAGATGCATCAGCTGTGTAAAATAATGATTTTTACCAAACATCTACCATGTTGATGTCTGCATCACTGCTTTCAGTTACCCCGTCTCATTGGCTCTGATCAGCCAGAAGCACATAGGGGTCTATTTATTATTAAAATCACATCGCAATTTGTGAGCTCAGCTGGGGTAAAAACAATGGGGCTACTTTCTCTTCTGGTTGAAGTATTATAGGCAGCAGTAAAAATAGGTTCCTTCATAAAGAACATAGAGTGAATTGGGAAAATGCCACATTATGGCCACTGTAAATAAATACATCTTAATGGCAAGAGATACAATGTACCAAACTCTAGAAAATGCTGGAGGGAATTATCCAGAAGTAACAATTGCTACATTTATTTGCTAATTCCCTCCAGCATTCTCTTGAATTATTACATTGTATCTCTTGTTACTAAGATGCATTTATTTCCTATGATCCTGAGCTCCATCTAGTGACCATAATGTGATATTTTCCTGATTGATTCTACTGTATGAATGAATCTACTTACTACTGCCTATAATATTTGAACAGAAGAGAAAATAGACTAAGAACATTCAATCTTACCCCATTCTCAGAACAGCTAGTTAAGTCACATAGAATGAATGTACATGCAGTTTCGCTGGATAAATATCTATGCATTTTTTAAAAGAATTAGTGCTCACATGTTTCAACCGCTATTTAAAGTATCCATTTGTCTTTTCTAACATACCTTAATGCCTAAAGGAAAGGCTAAAAGATAGTGGATTTGAGCTACTTAAAAAAGTGAGATCACTGCGTAAAAGGGATTTCTGAAAATAGTTGAAAGGCGCTTTTTTTGTGACTCCCGTACACACCCTTGTATCTGTGATGATCCCTTCATTCCTAAACAGCTAAGCATAGACCTATGGATTATTAAAGTGACATTAAAGCCTAAAATGCCCCCCACCCCCACCCTCCTTGCTGGTGTAAGGACTTACCTTAAATGATGCCTCTTGATCCGATCATCTTCTTCTTTCCAATAGTTCTCAGGAGTCCCTCCAGCGCTGGTGCCGGTCTCTGACCCAGCACTGACTCCTGTCTCTTCCTGTTACTTTCTGTCCTACGGAGTCTGTGTGGGTGCACACTGCCTCCATAGACTTACCTTGTTTCTCTCCTCATCTCCGCCCGAAGATCTCTACTGTGCATGCGTCCACCTCATGATCCTTTGCGGTCGCCCGAGAATCTTCAGATCTTCGGATGAGAGCGCATGGCGGAGACACAGGTAAGTTTAAACCCCTTTGTTAACTTAAAAATAAAATGTTTTTGCATATATCTACTGCTTGCTAGCAGTAGATATATGCAAAAAAAAGGATGCTTTAATGATGGCCCCACATTTATCTATCTAATGAATATGCTGTTGCTGCACATAGAAGGCAATAGGTGTTATAAGTCATAAATGCCATAAACTTGTAAATACTGTAGGCAGGGCCGGCCTTTGGGGTGTGCGAGATGTGCGGCCGCACAGGGCACCATGGCAACAAGGGCGCCAGGCAGCCGACGCAGCTCGTCCTCGGGGGGATTCTCTCCTCCTCACCACTGGCCATCCGACATGACAGCGCTCTCTCCTCAAAGCCATGCGCATGATGTCGCATTGCGTCAAGTGACATCATGCTCCCCGCCTCTAAGATGGTGGCACGCATTCGCAGAACGCACTGGTGGCCAACATGGCCGCCGTGCATTCCCAAATAAATGATGTGCCTGAATACATTTTTCGTATATTTGGGCAAATAGTAATTAATTCATTAAGGGTTTTGTGTTGTTTTTTTTTTTTACTTTTCTAGATACACTTACTTCAATTAAGGGTCGGCATGACATCCTGACACTTTATTTTTATAGACTCTATTTTAGTTTGACATTTATTGTTTACCACTTGTTTGCCTACAGTTGTTTTATTTAATAAGAATACTTATATTGTGCCTACAAGTTTAATACCTTTGAATAAAAGGACAACCATAATGATCAAATCCCTTTTTTTTTAAGTGACACTAAACACAGGAGTTAAATATTAAAAATGCATTCAAGTAACATAACTATTAACAAAAATGTATCTCATTTGTGTATCACTCTGCTTTAAATCCTCAAACCTGTGTGTATTGTAAAGTAGCCACAGCTCCAAGCTCACTGTGATGGACTACAATCTCATATTTAGTTTACCAATTTGTACTGAGATTGTAGTCCATCACAGGAGCGAGCTTGGAGCAGTGGCTACTTTACAACACACACAGGGACCATGGGGAACAAAAGTAGCTAACATCCAGAAGGAAGGACAGTGTCAGCACCAATTCAGAGTTGATTTGGAGATCTACAGCCGAGTGATACACAAAGAGGATACATTTTTGTTAATAGTTGAGGTACTTGAATGTATTTTTAAGATTTTACTCCTGAGTTTAGTGTCACTTTAACATAATCACAACTGCTAAACTCTTCTGGAGCGAGTGGCCAGCGCTGAGTAATGCAGAGTGTCATACTGCAATGTGACCACTAGAGGGCAGTGCTTACACACCGGTAAAGCCCTCTCCATTCTCCGTAGCGCGCTATGCTGTCTGTGATTGTATAAACATGCATCGAGCATTGGGTAACCTGCTTTCCTAATTAATACTTAATTACCCCAAATATCTACGTTTACACAGCCCCAGAGACGGAAGCGAGGTGTTGACAGAGTTCCTAGTAAACGGATCCCACGCTGCATATTAAACGTTGTACAGTACAAATGATGGTGTGATCGATACAAAGCCTTGTGCACTTTGAGCACATAGAGTGATCGATGGTTGTGAAAATGTACATAGCGATCTATACGTTCAGCTAGCTGTAACGATGGTGATAACGTATATCTATGGCTGCCGTATGGAATGTATGCTCCCAGGTACCAGTACAGCGCTCACCTCCCTCCGCTCATCGCTCCACAAGAGCTGCCTCCCTTGGCCGGCATTCAAGGAGCAGCGGTGGCCAATCACGATGAGAAGACTGTAAGCCCCGGGGATGGTGCGGCGGGGGGCGGACACTCCAGTAGCAGCTGTCCAATCCAAGAGTCGGGGGGAGGTCCTGGAAGTGACAAGCGTGTGGCTGGGCGGGGCTGGGGATGGAGAGGAGGAGG